AAAGCTGAGTCAAATTTATAGAAATAAGAGTCATTCCTCAATTGAAAAATGGTCAAAGTCATGATATGAAAAGGCAGTTTTCAGACAAAGTAATCAAAGCTATCTATAGTTATATGAAAAAGTGCTCTAAATCACTATTGATGAGAGAAATGAAAATTAAAACAACTCTGAGCTACTACCTCACACCTATCAAATTGGCTAATATCACAGAAAAGGAAAATGACAAATACTGGAGGGGATGGGGGAAAATCAAGCACTAATGGACAACTGGTGAAGTTGTATACTGATCCAACCATTCTGAAGAACAATTTGGAACTATGTCCAAAGGGCTATAAAACCATGCAGACCCTCTGACCAAGCAATACCATTACGAGGTCTGTATCCCAAAGAGATGAAAAACAAAAAGGAAAAGGACCTATGTGTACAAAAATATTTATAGCAGCTCTTTTAGTGGTGGCAAAGATTTGGAAATTGAGGGGATGCCCATCAATTGGAGAATGGCTGAACAAGTTGATGTATGTTACAGTGATAGAATACTATTGCGCTTTAAGAAATGATGAGCAGCATGCGAAGACTTACATAAACTGATGTTGAGTGAAGTGAGCAGAAATCAGGAGAACACTATGCACCGTAATGGCAACATTGTGTGATGACTAACTTTGGCAGATTTAGCTCTTCTCAGCAATGCAAGGATCTAAGACAACTCCAAGAGACTCACGATGGAAAATGCTGTCCACATCCAGAAAAAGAACTACAGAGTCTGAATGCTGATTTAAGTATACTATTTGCTCTCTTTTTTGTTGTTGTTTCTTCTGGTTCCTCCCATTGGTTCTAATTCTTCTTTACAACATGACTAATGTGAAAATAAGTTTAACACAAATGTATATGGAGCCTATATCTGATTGCACGTCGTCTTGGAGAGGAGCAAGGAAAGGAGGGGGAGAAAATTTAGAACTCAAATTTCTATGGAAGTGAATGTTGAAAACTAAAACTAACTAAATAAATAAATGATTAAAATAAAAGAACTGATGAGCAGGATGCTCTCAGAAAAACATGGAGAAACTTACATGAACTGATACAAAGTGAACTGAGCAGAACCAGGAGAACACTGTACAAACTAACAAGCAATATTGTATGATAATCTACTATGAATAGTTAGATACAATGATCCAAGACAATTCTGTAGGACTTATGATGAAAGGTACTGTCTGTCTCCAGAGAAAGAACTGGTAGAGCCTGAATATAAATCAAAGATACTTTTTTTTTACTTCATTTTTCTTAGGGTTTTTTGGTCTGTGTTTTCTTCCACAAAATGACTTACATGGACTTACATGTGTTTTGCATGACTACACATGTATAACCTATGTCAAATTGCTTGCCTTCTCACTGAGGCGGGCAAGGAAGGGAGAAAAAGAATTTGGAACTCAAAATTTGAAAAAAAAAAAAAAAGAATGTTAAAATTGTTTTTACATATAATTGGGAAAAATAAAATATTAAATAAGATTTTAAAAAAGAAAATTAATGGCTTCCAAATATCCAGTGAAGTTTTGTCAGTTCTTGCCAAATGGCTCAGGTAAGTCAACTTTTTTTGAGATTAAGTATGTTTCTGCTTTCAAATACAAAATAAGTAGACAACGCTGGTAAGGGATGGAAAAACTTTGTTATTCAACTTATGCTATAGTACATCTTATGGAATCAAGATTCAGAAACAAAAATATAATGACAGTCCTACTAGCTTATGAAACAAGCAGTAAATTATGATTTAGTCTCAACAGCACTTTCCAGGGTTCTAAAAAAACAAATATAGGTGTTAGTCCAGAAATACAGTCTGGAATTATGCCTAACTTAGCTCTTTGGCACATCTCTTCCGCAATGTGGCAAGGCCCCGATACATTAGTCCCTATATTCATCTTACCTTTTTTGCCTGCTTCAGATTTCTCCAATTTTCTATAGCATATGAAAAGAAACTAATCAGTAAAAATATTCACAGTAGCAATTTTTGTGGTATCAAAGAATTAGAAACAAAATGAGTAGGCACCGACTTAGGAGTGGATGAAAAAACTGTGGCATATCAATATGATAGAATTTTTTGCCCCACAAGAAATGAAATTGCTAAAGTAACAAAATTTCAAAAAATGAAATTGCTAAAGTAGCAAAAAACCACTAATAGAAATGGCTCAAAAAATGAGACTGCTTAGCCAAAAGTTTAATGATATCAAATTGTTAGTCACTAAGTTTTGTAACTTTTTGCTGAAACGAGAGCTTTCTTGCTAGCTTCAGAAATAATCAGTAAATAATACTTTATTTTACTATGATACTAATAATCTTTTTTTCTAACAGTCATCACTGTCCACAGTGTGACGCAACCAATAGAGGGTCAGCCTGGGTGTCAGGAAAACCTGGGTTCAAACCCTGCCTGACACATAACAATAACAATAACAGCCAATATTTACATAGAGCTCTAAGGATTGCAAAAGAATTTACATATATTATCTCAAAACAACTCTGTGATAGGTGCTATTATCATCAACATTTTGCAAACGAGGATGAGACCAAGAAAAGTCAAGTGAGTTGACCACAGTCACACAGTTAGTTAGGTGTTTGAAGAAGACTTCAAATTCACCTCATTACTGGTCCAAGTCCAGTGCTTTTATCCACTATGAGACCATGGAAATGTTACTTCAGCTTCCACTCCCTCTAAGACTCAGTTAAAAATGAATTGGTGATCACATCAGTATAGGAGCTTCTTCATTAGGAGTTCCCCATACTAATGAAAACACAGGTCTTGACAAAATAATTGTTTCCCATTGTTGCAAGGGGCAACTAGGTGGTGTGGTAGATAGAGCACTGGACTTGGAATCAGAAGGACTCATCTTTATGAGTTTAAATCTGCCCTTAGACACTTACTAGCTATGTGACCCTGGGAAAAGTCACTTAATCCTGTGTGCCTCAGTTCCTCATCTGTAAATGAGCTAGAGGAGGAAATGGTAAACCACTCCAGTATCTTTGCCAAGAAAAAGTCAAATGGGATCATAAAGAGTCAGACAAAACTGAACAACAACAAAGAAAGAATGTTTGTGATCTTCTTACATACGGAAAAAACCAGTATGTAGGTATGTGTGTATGTGTGTATGTATCTGTATCTGCTTAGAAATGTCTATATCTATATATACACACACCCACATAAAGTTCAAAAGATAACAGTTTCATTTGTAAGAAAACTAAGAATAATCAATATACTTGTCAATATCTGTATGCTTTTAAATTTAACATACCAAACATGATACTTTATGAATAAAATCAAAATTTTATGATCCTCAACTAACAAAATGACTAAACCTGCAAAAGGTATGGAAAAATTAAGTCATATAACAGTGCCTTGCCTATACTAGTGTTCATAATCCCCTCTTAAATAAGCTATTACACTCTTACCTGAACACATACACTCACATACACAGACACAAAATCTGCAATTTATATTTTTCTAGTCATAAGTTCTGAAAAGGCTTTTTAAGCAATTTTTCAAGCAATTAAAAATGTTAATAACATCTGGACATATTTCCTATTGCACCTATGTAATCCCTTTCACAAAGAAATGATGCTCTTAGTCATCAGTTATCCTACTCCTACTCATCAGGGCTAAGGTTGTAGCAATTATAAAAAACAAAATTGCACATGTACAAAATTACTTTTTAAAAAAATTACCTATATATTCTCTTATTACATTCTAGAACTCTGAAAAAAAATAGCTTTTAAAAAGTTTTGTTACTATTCTTTCATTGTATAAGATATTTTAAATTATTCATAATGGAAAACTATTTCATAAATTGGGAAATCACTAAAGTAATAGTTAAAAATATTTTGTTCCAAGTTTTTCATAGGGACACATCACTTGCTGGATTTTTTTAAAGAAAAATATTAATTATCTAGTACTGACTAATCATTTTTTAATACAAGAGGTAGCCTGGTATAAAAGGAAGGGTGCTGGATTTCTTTTCAGAGGACTTCTGCCACTCACTACCTGTATGACCTTGACCAACTCACTCAAATACTCTAAGTCTCACTTATTTATCTGTAAAAAAAGAGGAGTTTGTCCTTCCACCTCTACTATATGATCCATAAATATAATCACTTTAAATTATCCAGGTTCATGACTGTAGTCTTGTCCAACCAACATTTAACAAAGAAGTCTATTATGCACTTCAGATGGGTGACAGTACTTAAAAATCACTGCTTCTATCTTTCTCTCTCAGCTAAACTGTAGTTACATGGTTTGACCCAATAAGGAGAGAAGCACAGGAAGGGAAGAGGTAAATGTTAAACCATAATAGCGTCAAGGTTTCACTGCAAACCTAATGAACAAACCCGAAGTACACATTGTAATGTGTCCCCTTAAAGATAACCTTCTGTGCCAATGAAGACAAAAAATTGACAATCCTCTTTATACTACTACTATTTACTATGACAACAATGACGACTACTACTAACTAGTATTTGTATAGACTTTAAAGGTTTGCAAATAGCTTTACATGTTATCTCTTTTCATCTCCTATAAGAGAAAAACTCTCATTTCAATATTCTCTTCTCTCCTCTTTAAGATTTTGAGTACAGAATGCTTTAAACTGAGCATCTTAAAATCCTACCCTCTGACAGATACCTTGATCATACATGGATATCTGTGTTGTTTGCTAAATACTTGTGCGTGATTTCTCTAATTAAGTTGCAATGGAAATAATCATTAAAGATAATACTTAAGAAAATAGAGAAAAAGGGAAAAACATAGAGAAATAAATACAATATATGTGTGTCAGGAAGGAAGCAGAAAAAGGGAAAAAATAGTGGGAAGGAATACTAAAGAAAGTATCCAGGACAAAGTATAGTAATTAGCATTCAAATAGTATAAAAACATGACTAAACTTTAGACAAACATTTTTTGTTACCTATTATGGGAGCAAAGGATCAGTCTAATAATTAACTTTAAAAAATTTTTAATTTCTTACCAGAATCATAACTTGGAGGCTTCATATCTCCCTGATTCAACTCTGTCCCATACTTCAACTTGTGGTATTTGGCTCTAACAGAGAATGAGAAAATAAAAACCATCTTAAAATATTCTTAAATTAATTTAGAGATATGTAGTAGGCATCATCTCTACCACACAGTAGCTCTGATTAAACTGTAATGAAATTTGGAAAAAGCTCATATCCATCCCAATGGAAAAGTCAAACAACAAAATTTTTTTTTATATGGAAACAAACATGAATAAGACTTGCTCTCCAATCTTAAACAGCTTACAATCTAGTAGGAGAGTTATGGCAAGTATATAAATAACTATAATACAAAATCAGAATATGAGAAATGCATGAGAGGTATAAAGTGTTAATAATAACAAAGAGAGTGGATTCAGAGAAGGCTTATAAAAAAGACTGCATCTGAGCTGGACCTTGAATGTCTGCAAATGAGGATGGCAGGAATATATTTTAGGTATATGAGATATCATGAGCAAAAACATGAGGCAGAAAATAGTAATATTCAAGTCTTTTGTTAAGGGAAGCTTCATGGTTTAATATAGAGAGCACCGGACTTGGAATCTGAAGATCATAAATATTTATAGGATTAGAAACAAAAAAGACCTCATTAGTCATCCAATCTAATCTCCTCAGCTTATAGATGAGGAAATTGAGACCCTTAAAGATGAAGTGACTTGCCCAAGGTCACACATATTAGTAAACGGTAACACTGGAACTTGAATTCAGGTTCCCTGACTTCAAATACAAGGCTATTTTCACTGTACCACTCTCTGCATCCTATGTGAGTTTAGGTCCTCACTCTGCCCCTCAGCAAACACTGTGCTATTCGGGAAGTCACTTAACATCTCAGCATCTGTTTCTTCCATCTACAAAATGGAAGTAATGACACTTGCACTGCCTATCTCACTGGGTAGTTGTGAGGAAAGAGATTTGTGTATCATCAAATACTTTTAAAATGTGGGCTATCTGTTACCACTAAGTGCTTCAACTGCATAAAATAAAGAAAAAAATTACATATCATAAACTTGTTTCCTGCAGTCATTGATGAAAGATGAACCAAACAAACTGTCAACACTAGTTTGACTAATTCTGTAGTGAAAGGAGGAAAGTTCTTTTGCTGGTCAAATGTGTACAGTAATTGCCAGGATCCACAACAAGTAAGAAATGTACCTAAAAAGTCAAAATTTGACTGGGGACAAAAAAGAGATAACACTATATTCTTTCTTGAAACTGAAATTTTCAGAGTATGCTGGCAGTGCATGGCCCAAATCCCTGCCATAATTCTCAGAAGGATGGACAGAAGAGTTCTGAGTATGCAGTTTCAAAAGAACATGATCAAAACTACTGTATCATCAATATTAGATAAAAACAGATATTTTGGTAGGAACCAATTCAAAATTACTATTCTTCCTCCATATAGAATATGTTTCTATCATCTACCCAGGCAACACCAGGAAAAGGTAATACCATGAATGGACATACTATTTGGTTTCTTCCTATAAGTGTCATGTGAAAATAATTTTCTATAGAACCTTTTCAATCTTTCCCAAAACCCTCTGCCACTGAAACAAAGTATTACCTTTTAACCAAAAGAAAACAATGTAACTAGCCTTCCATCTAAGTCATTTTCTGAATTAAGGTGGCATTTTACTTTATAATGAAATATTATGCAATTCATTTATTTTTTAAAATGGAATGAAGTAACATCTTCAAACACTGAAACACTACCTCATGGTACATTCTAGTGGTCTTACATAAAACTGCAGAAGAATGATCAGAAAAGAACTAAAAAATATTAGTTTAACAAATAATTTAACCATGACTAATAATTAAATGTCTTCAGCCAATTAATCAAAGAATAAGATATTTTATAAAGTAAAATTGTCATGACTGGGCTAGCCATAAAGCTACTTCATCATCATTCTAACTAGGAAACTTCTGCCTTCATGAAAAATGTTAGTTTACACCCATTACCTTCCTCAACTTCAAAGTTATTCTTCTCACCTTTGTTCCCATCACTTTCATTTAAACTGCAGTACTTCTAACCTCTATGGCATATTGTCCAGCCAATATTTTTTCATCACTTGTTTTCTCTCCATCTAATTCAAGTAATGAGACATAAGCAGGAAATGTATCTAATTTTGCTTCACAGAGAATCCTAAGACATATAGTTAATTAACTATGATCACTATAAAATACCGTGATAACAGATACTGAATTTAAGTTCCATTCTAGTTATTTTGTTATCTATATTTACTTGTACTAGGAATAGTCTATGACTTCCCAATCATTTTTCTTATGGTATCTCCAAAAAAAATAAAAAAATAAAAATACACAAACACACACACACACACACACACACACACATACTTGAAGTTTTTTTTTTTTTTTACACAGGTCAACCTCAGCTTATAAAATGGTCTTTAAAATATTAATTCAATTTTTTAATAAATCATACTTTATATATACTAGAGAATCTGCTATTTAAAAGAAAATGATGAGTACTTTATAAAATGATCACTCAACAAGCATTTAAGCACACTTACTAGGTACCAGGTATACTAGGTTTAAAAAGGCCATCTGATTTATCTTTTTAAAACGGAATTTTCTTGAAGTGTATGTGGAGGCAGGAAGCATTCAGAATCCTATGGTCTCAGAATTATCAGGGGCTTTAGAGGCCACATAATTTGATTTATACCTGAACAAGAATCCCCTCTACAAGACAACCAACAAGTGTTCGGCCTTCCCTTGAAGACTTTTAGTGAAGGGGAATCCACTACTTGCAGAGAAGTCCACTCTACTTCTGGACAACTCTACCTGTTAGGTAATTTTACCTAATGTCAATGCTAAATTTGCTGCTTCTTAACTGCCACCCATTGGTACCGATTCTAGCCACTAAAGCCACACAGAATGAGTCTAATCCCTCTTCCATGTAGCTGACCTTCTTACACTTAAAGATACCTCTGATATGCCACCTGGGCCTTCTCTTCTCCATGCTAAACATTTCCTTCAACTCAACCTCACATGACATAAAATAAAGGCTTTTCATCATGCTAGCTGTCAGTTCCTGACACTCTTTAGGTTATTCATGCCATTCCTAAAATGTAGCACACAAAACTGAACGCATTATTCCATATGTGATCTGACCAGGGCAGAGTTTAACAGGGCTTTCATCAACTTCTCCAGGCCTGGACACTATGTGAATACAGTCTACTATCAAGTTGCCTTTTTTGGCTGCCATATAATGCTGACTTAACAGTAAGCTTGAAGTCCACCAAAACCTCTAGCAGTCTAGATTTATTTCAGACAAATTACTATCTAACCATACTTCCCTAGTTTATATTTCTGCAACTGATTTTTAAACCCAATTATAAAATCATACTCTTCCACACTTCAATAATACAACTATTTGAACAAATATATATACACACATATATACATATATACTTACACATATACATATATCTATTCTGTATATGTGTATGAATATATATATGTATATATGTGTATGTCTATACATACATACATATACACACACACATATATATCTTCCTGACAGAAAACTCAAAAAGCAAACTGATTTTGGACTAAAAGGACAACTTTAAATTAATGTTTGTTCACTTAAACATGAAGTACCTAAACTATGTGAATGCCACTAAACTTGAGATGTTCTAAAATTCCATTTTTTAAAAAATCATCATTCTCTAAATTTTTAACCTAATTTACTATAAAATCTAATAGACAAATGGTATGATTTCATAAGGAGTATTCATGTTGATTACAAGAATGAACTTCAAAGAAGACATCCACAAGTTTATCGATCAGAAGTACTAATACGGCTGTATGGGTAGACTAACATTATACAATAATACCAGTTATGATTCTCCTTGTACCCACAAGCCACATACATGAGAAAAATGGTTTTTCCATTGAGCTGTATCCTATAACATTAATACTACTATTAATCAATCTGAAAGAGTATGTATTTTTTTCTAACATCTTAACCTTAATCTCTTGATATTAAATAATGAACAAGATTTAACAATGTAACACTTTTCAGGAGGAGTCTTATACAGTAAATTTAACTCTTTGAAATATGGCTAAGAACTAAGAAGAAAAAGAAGCACTTATGTAGCTAAAATTAATATCACAAAATTCACCTACTTTACTGAGACTCCCAAGTATGCATTTATTTTTATTTTAGATAACTCTAGCCAACCATAATATGGTTTCTTAGCCCATAGCAGATCAGAAGCATCCTTAGTCCATAGCAGATCAAAGTTAGAAAGGAAAGGAACTTCTAAAGGAAGATACAGTGACAAAACCAGGACCAGAAAGTGACAACTGAAAGGAAAGAAAAGGAGAGAAAAAGTGACAAAAAGATTTTCAAATCAGTTTACCAGAAAAATTTTTCCCACAGAAATGGTTTTGATATTACAGAAGATGATGGAAAAAATAGGATTCAGTTTATATAAATTTCCTTTACTTAAATATAGATTTATTAAAATCACATAATTTTAGAACCATGAGGGATCATTAGAGACTAACTCTAAATGACTTCTCCAAAATTAAACTAAACTAAGCCATAAAGGCTAGAACTGTGTCTTATGCTTTTTCTCTCTCAGTACTTTGACACAGTGACTTGTACCTAGTAGGAACTCAATAAATACTTGTTAGGTAAATTAATGAACCTAAGTCAGGTCTGCTGATTCCCAATTCAATTCTCTTTCAAACATACCACTCAACCTTTCCTAAAATGCTTGTAATGTATAAAATTAGAGATATCAATATTTCTTTCATTAGTCATGCATTTTCTTATACCAAGACATTTTAAAAATTCAAACTGGTACAATGTGGGTACCTATGAACATAGAATTTATCTGGAAGATACCTTTGAGGTCAGCTAGTTCATTTTATTCTAGTCTCATTTTACAGATGAGGAAACAGGTTCAAAGATATTACATGATTTGTCCAAGAACAATCAATAATTAGCAAGGCCAGAATTCTCATGCAGGTTTGTTGACAACTTACATAATGCTCATTTCCCTAACCTGTGTTGCCTGGATATTTATTTATGAAGCTACCATGTTTAAAATTTTAAATATCAATTTATCCATCTGTATTGAAGAAAAACAAGTACTCCCAATCAAATCCTTTTAGTAGGTACATTAAAATAAGACTCAAATATTTTTCAGAAAATTTTTCTTGGTGGCACAGTGGATAGAGCACTGGCCCTGAAGTCAGGAGGACCTGAGTTCAAATCTGGCCTCAGACCAAACCCTTGACACTTACTAGCTGTGTGACTCTGGGCAAGTCACTTAACCCCAATTGCCTTAAAAAAAAAAAATTTTTTTTTTCTTTTGGTCTTTTCTTTGGTGTGAGGTATTCCAGGTGAGAAAATCCCTTCGTCCAATAAAGTTGAGCAAGTGATCTTATAAGTTGCCGGGGAAAGTTCAGGGGCAGCTAGGTGGCGCAGTGGATAGAGTACCGGCCCTGAAGTCAGGAGGACCTGAGTTCAAATCCAACCTCTGACCAAACACTTGACACTTACTAGTTGTGTGACCTTGGGCAAGTCACTTAACCCCAACTGCCTTAAAAAAAAAAAATAAATAAAGTTCAGTGCTTGGCTGGTCACAGCCAGAATATAGAGACAGGACTCTAATCCAGGTTTTTCTAAGTCAGAGGCCAGCTCTCTCTATACACTACACAATGTTGCTTCTCAAAATTAGGTATCTAAACAAATCTCTCGAATTTTTTAATGAATTTAGAATTCTAAAACTTGTAATTTATGAAATGAGAAAAAAGTACTCTCGAAGGAACTGAAGAAACTTAAAAAACTCTCTTCCATTTATGAAATTTATGAATTTATGAAATGAGAAAAAAGTACTCTCGAAGGAACTGAAGAAACTTAAAAAACTCTCTTCCATTTTAGTGAAGTACCTTTCCTGTTTAAGAGCATATTCCAGCATTTTGATCCTCCTTACTAGATCTTTCTTCAGATTTTCTTGTCCTTTCCTTTCTCCTTGAAGGAACGCAATCTGGGCCTGAAAAAGACAAGGCTCCATTTAGATAAAAATGAATTGGAAAAACAATGCAATTAGGAAAATATGCATTCAGAATACTGATCAGGAAAATAATGCTGTGTAATTATAATGATCAAGCTTGACCCTGAAGATACAAGAATGTACATTCCTCCCTTTTTTGAAGGAGGGGAACTGGGAAGGGAGTAGGGATGGTGGAACATTATATATACAGTTAAACTTGACAGATGCCATGATTAGTTTTGCTGATCTGCTTTTTCTTTTTCATTCTGAATCTTGAAGGGATGGCTCCATGGTTAGGAAAGAAAGAAGAGATATACAGTAAAGGGAAGATGATGTAAACAAAATATATAAATAAAAATTAAAGGTTCATTAGTATTCTTTACATATAGCTATCAAAATATGTGAGGAATTTGAAACACATTATCTAGAAGAACTATCTCCCTCAGAATCATCATCAAAAAAATCTGAATTATAGAATTTTTTTAAACCTAGAAGGGAACAACCTACTTTGTGTGTTACTAAAGCAGAATGGTTACAAATAACCAAGGTCTTTTTAAAGTTTAAAATCTAAAACATCCAACAATAAATGATGTAGAAACCATATTGCTAATTATTATAGATGAATACACACACACACAAAGAATACTGAAAGCACAACACAATAGGTAGTTTTAGCTACTTTTAGGCATTGGAGTAAAACACATCCAGCAAGGTAGGTATTCACTGATACCGCTTTATGATGTAAATAACCTGTTTGGACAATTAAGTTTCAAAATGGAGTCCTAATTTTAAAATGGACTGAATTAACAACCTTGGGTCTATTGGAAGTGTATGCTACAACAATTAAAATCTCTTTCTCCATATCTTCACTCTTCTGATTTTTTCCTATTTTCTATAATCTAGTGGGTAAAGCACAAACACAGAATAGCGGAGACACATTAAAAAAGTTGCTTTTAAATGGCCCCTAACATAAACTCCTTTCCTCCATCTTTCCTCTCATTTCAAACTTCCCCAGTTAACTATACCAATATTACATTTTAATATGAAATAAACTATTATGGATATATGCTTTTTTAAAAGAAAGGAACTCTCTGGGGCAGTTAGGTGGTACAGTGGATAGATAGAGCACTGAACCTGGAGTCAGGAGTACCTGAGTTCAAATACAGCCTCAGACACTTGACACTTACTAGCTGTGTGACCCTAGGCAAGTCACTTAACCCCACTGCCTAGCCAAAAAAAAATTAATTTTTAAAAAACTGAAAAAAAAAAAGAAAGGAACTCTCATGTGTGGGACAGACAGTATGAGGTAGCTTTTAATTAGTGAAGACATTGTGATAGTTTTAAAGTAACTAAGTCACTGGAATGATAATCGATGATATTTAGATTTAAAATGGAACCTTTTAAGTAAGGTATCCAAAGCATTTTAGAAATATCAGTTCATTAAATTTCATAATACCTTGGAGACAGGCAGGAAAGGACTCCATTTAAAGGTCCACAAAAACATCTAAGTAAATAATCTTACATAATCTTTGCCTCACTAGTTTAATTCATCACACCCTACACACACACACACACACACACACACAACAATTATTTTACCCACTCATTTAGATGACAATATGATTTACATTTATATAATGTATTCAAGTAAGGAGCAGGGGGAATATAAGTATTCATGTAGGACCTAGTAGGTGCCAGGCACTCTGCCAAGCTACTCTGCCAAGTATTACCTCATTTGATGGAGGGGATAAGTTGAAGAGATAAAGGCAAGCAGAGGTTAAGTGACTTGCCAAGGTCACACAGTGTCTGAAATTGAATTTGAATTCAGATCTTCCAAACAACAATCTACTAAATCACCTGTTTGCCATAAATTAGTAATACTTCTAAAGCAGGTCTCTTAAATGACCAAATCTACATGGCTCTACTTTTCCTGGAGTTAAAACAAAACTCATTTTAAGTCATTCAGTAACTTTCTGAAAATAGATCATTCAACTGATGAAAAATTATCTTGAGTAGACTCAATATATAAGCAATAGTGTTTTGCCCTAACATCTGACAGCATTTAAAAGTTTATTGTTTTATTTAAGAAAATAATAAAGTGAATTTTTTCATCAATGGAATCACTAAAAGCAATCTGTCACCTAAAAATGGCAAGAAGGTCATATAGGCCTTATACCTTATACCATAAAGGCATATATACCTGAAGGGTCACAAAGCATTGACTATAGACAATAAGTAAACACAAGTTCTAGAATAATTGTATTAAGAACTAGGCCCTGGGTTTTAAAGTTTAAAAAAAAATGATGGTACTATCCAAAATTTATTTCAGAATATGCCAATAGATTCCTTTGAAATTAGGCCTAAGATCAATACAGCACCCCTCAAAGCTCAGACAAGATTGCCTATTTGCTCAAGGGTTGTTCCAACAATACCATAATAAGCCTTCTGCCTTTGAAAACTTTATTTTCATTGTTGTTAAGAGGTAGGTCAATATAATGTCCAGCAACACCAGTGCCTATTTAGTTAGGAGGAGAACATTCTTGGTTTTGTCTAATAAGAAGGGTGTACAACGCTATAGTCAATATTAGCCTTCTCTTTGTTTTGAACTGCAGACTAATGTTAACTATGCTCAGAACTGGCTTTTTTTTTTTGCGAAATTAAAAAGTTTTTCTTTTGAATTTAAAGAAGTATTATTAGCTGAAGCCAGTTTGACATGGTAAGAGAGATGTTGGACTGATGGAGAGATGTGCAGCCTGATTCCAAACAAACTCTGAACTCTTTCAAAGAACAAGAAAACATATTTTACATTAACAAAAAAAAAAAAAGATTTAGCTCCTGGGAAGGGAGGAGCCAAAAAAAAAAAGAAAGAAAAAGAAAAAGCCCGAGCTGTCACAAATTCCCCTCCAAACAACTTTAAATTACTCCTCAAAATGAATTCGAGAGCGGCAAAACCCACAAAAGGATAAGGTGAAAAAATTGTCCAGTCCAAAGCAATTTAGAAAGTCAGCAGGAAAGGTCTGTAGAACTGGGGTGAGAATAGAGTACAGGCCAAAGCCCAGCAAACCAGCAGTAGGCCTTGGGGGCAACTGAATCAGCAAACGCAGCTGCAGCTTCCAGAGCTCTCAATCCACAAATGGTTAGGGGGCGGACAACTGGTCAGAAGAAGATTCCAGGGGTCCTTTTGCTAGCACTGGGTACAGGACTCTGTTGCATTGCCCATATACAGATCCAGGTCACAGTTCCAGGGTGAGGAGAAGCACTAGCAAACAAAAGGCTTATTGTCACAGGGGAGCAAGGACCCTCGTCACAATTCCAGGGTGGAAAGGGGTGCTTATAGACCTCAGAAGTAACTCTGATAGCAGCAGCAAGAAAGGCCAGAAGCTTGGTACAGTGCCTCCGACATACCAGGATCAGAGCCCCACTTTAGCATAAAGTTAAAAGTCAAGAAATAGACTGGGAAAATGAGCAAACAATAAAAAAGAACCTAAACATAGAATGTTATTATGGTGACAGGCGAATTCAAAACACAAACTCAGAAACTAAAGTCAAAATTGCTACATACAAAGTCTCAAAAAAAAAAATGTGAATTGGTCTCAAGCCCAAAAGAGTTCTTGGAAGAGCTCAAAAAGGATTTTTAAAAATCAAATAAAGGTAGAGGAAAAATTGCAAAAAGAAATGAGAGTGATGCAAGAAAATCATGGGAAAAAAGTCAACATCAACATCTTGGTAAAGTAAAGATAAAAAAAGCAAAGAAAATAACATCATAAAAAACAGAATAGGCTAAATGGTAAAAGAGACACAAAAATCCACTGAAGAGAAGAACTCCTTAAAAAGTAAAACTGGCCAAATGGAAAAGGAAATACAAAAGTTCACTGAAGAAAATAATTCCTTAAAAATTAGAATTGGACAAGTGGAAGCCAATGACTCCATGAGATATCAAGAAACAATCAAACAAAATCAAGATTGGAAAAAAATAGAAAATGTGAAATATCTCATTGAAAAAACTGACTTGGAAAATAGATCAAGGAGTGATAACTTAAGAATTATTTGGATTGCCTGAAAGCTATGATTAAGGGGAAAAAAAGAGCCTAGACATTACCTTTCAAGAAATTATCAAGGAAAACTACCGTGATATTCTAGAGCCAGAGGCTAAAACAGAAATTGAAAGAATCCACCAATCACCACCTGAAAGAGCTCACAAAATGAAAACTCCCAGAAATATTATAGCTAAGTTTCAGAGCTCTCAGGACAAAAAGAAAATATTGCAAGCAGACAGAAAGAAATCATTCATATACCATGGAGCCACAGTCAGGGTAATCCAAGATTTAGCAGCTTCTACATTAAAGAATCAAAGGGCTTGAAATATGATATTCCAGAGGGCAAAGGATCTAGGATTACGACCAAGAATGACCCACCCAGCAAAACTGAGAATAATCTTTCAGGGGAAATAATGGATATTTAATGCAATAGAGGACTTTCAACCATTCCTGATGATAAGACCACAGCTGAACAGAAAATCCGACTTTCAAATACAAGACTCGAGAGAAGTATAAAAAGATAAACAGGGAAGAGAAATCATAAGGGAGTCAAGAAGGTTAAACTGTTTATATTCCTACATGGGAAGATAACACTATAACTCCTAAGAACTTTCTCATTATTAGGGTAATTAGAAGGAATATATAGACAGAAAACAGGAGTAAGTTGAATATGATGGGATGATATCTAAAAAAAATAAAATTAAAGGGTAAGAAAAGAGGAATGCACTGGGAAAAGGGAGAGATAGAATGGGGCAAATTATCTCACATAAAAGAAGGGCAAAAGAGCTTTTAGAGTAGAGAGAAAGATGAGGAGGTACTGGGGAGCACTTGAACCTTACTCTCACTGGAATTGTCTCAAAGAGGGACAGGAAAGAAGGAGGGGAAGGAAATAAGAGCATAGTAGGGGGAGGGTAATAAAAGGGAGGATGGATTGGGCGAGGTGCTACTCAGAAGCAAAACACT